AGGACACGTGAAGATCGTCATTTAAAATTTCGGACTGATCTACATTTTTGATGAGTATAAATGGTTTGCACCATACACGTGATAATTTGGAATATCATGTGATAAACATATATACACGTGATCGGTAACTATCGTATATTAATAAAGTAATAGATATATATTAAACATTAAAAAAATATATTTAATTTAAGGCAACCGGAATGGCAAAAAACTAATGGAAGAAATCGGGATGACTCGAAAATATAATTTTTAATTATCGCCAAACTTGTGATTGATGTCATTTTCTTCGAAAAAAGAATCGTACAATTTCTTGTCAAAGATTGTCAACAAAAAAAAACTTTGTTCGATAATGCATTTAAAGTGCTCGCCAGAAGTAACCTAAATCCCACCCCTGATTAGACGAATTCCCCCAGCGTAACCACCAAAAAAGTTCGAACACGTGATATTTATCCAATAAAATGGCTTTTTCAAGATCATTGCAAATAACCTATGACAACCACCTTTTAGCTTTTAAGTAAAAATGCTCAGCGTGAAATCGTATTGACATAAGAATTATATTACCATATTAACAACTATCATACTGATATGGCTTGTTGAAATAAAAAAAAATCATAGTTGCATGTTATTCAATATCAAAACTTTCCATCAAAAAATAATTTATCCCCAAAATTAATTATAAATTAAAATTTGCTCTTGATCTGTTAATGCTTGACGAAAAAAAACATTCAAGACAATACATAATCCTAAGTTGACGATTTGACGTATGACACTACGAAGACGTTGGATATTAATTGATTTGAAATCTTTTGATATGGCAAACTTATACTTGCTGATTTTATTTGGTTCAATGATACGTATTCAGGATGTTTACGCAAGCAACCATCAAAGTGATAGCATTATTTCATAACAGCCGAAAAAACCAACCGCACAAACTTTCCCCAGTATATAATTAGCTTTTTATGAACAATTGTTTAGACAATATGGTGGTGAGTCAATAGAAACCAAGCAAATCATATATATAATACATATCGATATATAATTTGCTTGGTTTCTATTGACTCACCCCATGTTTACAATGACGAGTTACACGACTCTGGCATCTTGTCATTCCATATTCTTATAGAGCGTCTACACATTTTTTTATTTAATATTTTATGGCTCAATCTAATTGTAACGACGTAACAACTTCAATATTAACCAATCACTTATCCAGAATCTTAACCATAACTCTAACTCAGATCCTAATTGGCCAAATAAAATGCGGTTGTCACATACATTTATTACTGTTATGAATTTTTGAATTTGTTTATTAGGCATGATGTTGTATATTTATACATTTTGAGCCGAGCAAATGACGATTGTCTCTTGGCACCTAACTAAATTCCAAATGGAAATTCGATTTCCATTGTCAAGTTCTCTACATATGGGTGGATGATTCCTCATCAACACTCACATCTCTCTTCTCCATTATCATATCAATCAAGCCAAACTCTAGAGCTTCTTCAGCCGTCATAAAATAATCCCGTTCTACTGCCTTTTCTGTATATGATATGAAACATGAAAACCTATAAATAAAAAATAAAATGATAATAATATTCATGAGAATAAAGTATCAAGTTACCAATATCGGCTAAAGTATGTTTTTTCGTGTGTTTTTGATATATTTTATTTAACCTTCCCCTTACTCTCAGGATTTCTTTGGCGTGTATAGCAATATCAGTCGCTTGTCCACGTGCTCCACCACTCGGTTGATGAACCATAATGCTAGAATTGGGAAGCGAGTACCTTTTGCCTGGTTCGCCTGATTATTAAAATAAATAATATCGATAGAAATGAATTGAATTTGCCATGATAATATAATAATAATTAATAGATAAACATATACCTGCTGCCAACAACAAAGATGCCATTGAGCAAGCTTGACCATAACAACAAGTTGAAACTGGAGATTGAATATACTTTGTGAAAGAGACATGAATCAATATTACGTTAGATCATCATCGATCACTATACCAAAACTATTAATAATCACCTGCATCTAATCGAAACGACAATAAGAGTCATAATTAAACTTGTTAGTTATAGATACAACATAATATTGTCGTGTAGTGCCGAAAGTAAGCACCCTTTTTTGCACCCAAAATTGAGAGGGGTGCTTATTTTCCCTTCCATCCTTTATTTGGAAGAGAATCAACGATCTTAAATGCTAATCGCGCTCATTATACAGATATGTTGGGTGCTTATTTCCGGCACTATACGGTATATCACAAAAACCTACTGCATCATAAACGGCCAATCCGGACGTCACAGTTCCACCTGGACTATTAATATACAACTTAATTTCTTTTTCAGGATTCTCATTTTCAAGATAAAATAATTGTGCTATCACAACGGACGCAACATGATCCTCTATCTGTAGTTGCCAAGTGTCATTATCGATTAATTAATATCGAGTATTGATGAGATAATTTTATACTAATTTTTCAGGTAAATATCGAAACCTCGCCATTCAAGCAAATGATTCGCTCTTTTAATAGACGCGAAAAGATATCATATGATCGTTCACTTCCTTTCTAATTAGACAAGGCTTATTAATAAGAGATTGATAATGGTAAAATACAATACATCTAAAAACTTACAGATTGATCTACCACAAAAGGTATTAATGCCGTGGCTGATAAATGTCGACTATTACCATAAGATAATAACCTTTTGTAATGCTTTAATAAGAATTTTCAGTGTTGGTAATAAAACATACTCTCATGTATATTCAAAAGTCAAAATAATTATGAAATAACTGCAGTATAACAATTTACTTTTAACATGTCAAATAATTCATGAATTTTAAATTTTTACAATTTAAAGTCATACTTGCTTGATTTTTAATTGACTTGTGAATTTTACCGAGGAACGCCTTAAAGTTTCGGCAAGTAGCAAAGAATTTAATGATAGATTATTAATATTCGTTAACTTCAAAGCTTGCGAAATTTTAATAATTTTCATTTTGACCAAAAATCAAAGTTTTTTTGAAATTGTGACATATTCTCGTGGCATTGGTGTCACACCATTTGTAGAATGTAGAGTGAACACGTATGTTGTTGACAATCATCTTAGTAACTTCTTAACCCGTTTTTTTGAGCATGACAATGTTTTCAGCAGGACCATCTGGCATGTATTAAGCTTTGCTTTTAACAGAATTGACTCGTTTAATAAATGTTTTATTTCAAAAATAGGCTTTCAAAATGCTCCCGTAACAAAATGCGCTATCCTCAGTCTTGGAAGTTGTACTCTGGCTACAGCGTTACTCGACCTCAAACCGTTTTTACAGTTACAACTAATACCAAACATAACCGAACAACATGAAGTATCTATCTATTGTTTTCGCTTTCGTGTATATTATATATAATTTTCTAGGTAAAAAATGTATAAACATAAATATTATTATTTTTATTATTATTGGGTTTTATTTGTGTAGTTTTGGCGGTTAATCACCTCGCATTGTGCATTTGCCAGTTCGGGAGAAGTGCTGTTAGGCGGATTGGTGCTTTATCATCTTCGAACTATTGAAAGACAATTTGGAACACCAAAGTATGCAGTAAGTAACCGATGAATCAATGCAAGCGTGAATAAGGCGTGTTATGTTGATTAAAAGAATTAAGAGTTATCTACGATCTGATATTAGAATCCGAGAATTAGTTGTAATTAGTATCTATTCTTATACGCAATAGGCATTTTTATTTGCGTCTTCAGCAATATCTACAATACTCGAACTTGGAGCGTTATGGGCCGGCAAATCTTTTGGATTGAATTATATACCGGGAGGCCCATATGCGATGATATTTGCAGGTTTATATCAATATCAAAGGGTGGTTCCGTCCACGCCACTCTTCACATTTCTCGGTGTCACCATTTCAAGCAAAATTATAGTATATTCTTTAGGATTACAGGTATTTCATATAGCCTGCTATTATTATCTTTTATTCTAACATAGATCTAATTACTCGTTGATTAATTCCACAAAAAAGTTATTGGTCTTTCATTATCCTTCATCATCAGTTGCTGCTCTATGTGGTATAATAGCTGCTGCGCTCTATCAAAATGAAAATCTAGGACTAAAGAAATGGCGACCACCCGGATTCCTTAGCCAATTTGCATCACGATTTATACTACCTTTGTTATCTACAAACTCTACGCGGAGATGTACAACTACTGGTAGTAGCACCATTTTAGATCAACAACGACAGATTACTCAAGATCATTCCAGGCGGCGAGGACCTCAATCTCATCGGGATCCTCCGGTATTTATTAATTGCAATAACTTTATGATACAATAAGAAATCATCAATTGAAAGTGAAAGATAAAAAAATTATTGTTATACTTTTTAGCTTCCTCCACCACTTCCAGCCGCAGCTACTGAAGAACAAATTGCCACGTTACAAGCAATGTTTCCACAAAGCTCCTATTCTCATATAGCACAAGTCATCCAGTCTGCCAATAACGATATCAATAGAGCGGCACAATTTTTATTAGACCATCCTCGTTAGAAATCAAAATTTATCATATAGATTATAGAAAATTTTTAATACGGAAATTCATGTATAATTTTAATTTTTTCCGTTCTTTGTATTCTAATCATTTGTACGAATAATAATTTGGCGCGCATTTCTAAGATGACTATTACATGAAATGAATAGAGCTGTGCAAAGACTTGGTCAATTTTGGCCTGCCTGATATAATATTTAACAATGCGTTACACGTTCTAAGAACCAAGATCTTAACGTAAATTACTTCATTTAACTTATAATGATAAACCACATTAAGTGCTTGGATTAGTGTTTATACCAAAATGAAGATTTTCAATTACAAATTGATTTGCTATACATAAGCTACGATAAAATTAAAGAAATCAATTGAAAAGGAAAATCGAATTTATTAATATAGTATTACAAACTAAGAGACAAAGATTAATTTAATATTAATTTGTTAGGTAAAATAAGGTTCGTTAGCGATGAGGAATATCTCACAAGATGAGAATAGGATTGCGAGAATTGAGCACTTATGTTAGGTGTGATGTTGTTATTCAAGGATGAACTTGATGGTTATACTTCGGTAGCTGCAGCACCTTTCTTGTTTTTCTTTGGAAGGAGATTCTGGTGAATATTTGGCAGTACACCGCCTTGGGCAATAGTAACATGGCCGAGCAGCTTGTTTAATTCTTCGTCGTTACGAATAGCCAGTTGAAGATGACGTGGGATGATTCTTGATTTTTTGTTATCACGAGCAGCATTTCCGGCTAATTCCAGGATTTCCGCAGCCAAATATTCAAGTACAGCAGCGAGATACACCGGAGCACCAGCACCAACTCGTTGCGCGTAGTTACCTTTACGAAGAAGACGGTGAATACGTCCGACTGGGAATTGAAGACCGGCTTTTGCTGATCGAGATGAGCTAGCTTTAGCAGAGGTAGCAGCAGCAGATTTACCACCTGATTTTCCTCCCGAAGACATGTTTGGTAGAATGCACAAATATAATGTTGAAATTGGTAAACTTAAGAATTACGACAAGTTGTTACTATTATTTTGAAGAAAATCGGGGAATTCTCGGTCTTTTTATATTCAAAATACACGCTTATTCTCACAAACAAAACAAAATCGTGTGGCGTGTGTTATTAATAATATGTTTTATCACGTTACTTACCAAGATCCAAGGGTAATGAAATATAGTCAAAACAATACAATACGCGAAGAGAAAAAAGGATTGTACAATTGTACACGTATCCCCAAATCAGACGAAAGCCACAATTAGTAAAAACGCGTGATTGTTAACCAATTGAAACATTATCTTGTCCAATATTATTTCTGTGTGTGTGTATGTTTGTGTTTTTTGTCAAGGGACGTTTTTGGTTGGCGGCGCGAAATAGAGTGGCAACGCGTGTTCATACCAAAACAATAAAATCAGTATAAATAGAGGCTCCTTACTCACACATCACCCATTTCAAACTAATCACGATTTTATTTACTACGGTTACAATATTATAATATCCTTACTCACACACTCCACGATTTATTACGATCGTCACAGAACTTTTGATATAACCCCTCAATTTACATAACATACATAATATAAAATGCCGCCAAAAGCCGAAAAGAAACCCGCCTCCACTGGCAGCAAGGCACCTGCTTCTAAAGCTCCTGCTGAAAAGAAAGAAAAAAAACAGGCAGGGGAAAAAGGCAAAAAGAAGAAGGTTAGAAAAGAAACCTACTCCAGTTACATTTATAAAGTGCTCAAACAAGTCCACCCAGACACCGGCATTTCAAACAAGGCGATGTCGATCTTAAACTCGTTCGTAAACGATATCTTTGAGCGTATCGCAACCGAAGCTTCTAAGCTCGCCGCCTACAACAAGAAATCCACTATCTCGTCTAGGGAAATCCAAACAGCCGTTCGTCTTATTCTTCCAGGGGAACTGGCGAAACATGCGGTTTCTGAAGGCACTAAAGCCGTCACTAAATATACCAGTTCTAAGTAAAGAATTCATTCAACCTGCCAAATTATTATTGAATTAATCCGTTTCGCTTGCATTTATTGTAAATGACAAATTTGTATTCGTAATTTCGTAATATATTTTAATATTTTCGCCTGTATGACAGACAACACTGAATAAAATTATTGACTTGTCAATAATACTCGTTGAGTGAATATAATCAGAATAGTTAGTAATTACTTCCGATCAATAACAACTATTTATTGACCTGTTCCCACTAGAATTATTATTACAATCTTAATATACATAAAGATCTAATAAACCCAAAATTAAAGAATAATTATTTACCAAAAAGAGAAGCTGGAAAGTACTCGTTAATAAAAAAAAAAAATATCCACCAAATTAGTAATATTCATGTTATGGTGATTCCTCTGGTGCAAGATCCCGGAAATAATATTTACTCAAGTATACTCTCAATTTTCCAATTTCCTGAGCAATTATTCCTTGTATTTCGGCCCTTAATTCATTTCTTAAACGCTGAATTTGTGGATCATTGTAATCATCTTGAGGTAGATACATTCCTGGAACTACCCCAACTTCGCTAGGTTGATATACTGATGATGATGTAGATGTACCACCAAATCTCTGTGAATTCTGAGTCTCCGATAAATTACCGTATAAGGTTTCAGCTTGTGTATGTGGTGTATTTGACGATGGATCATCCTGTGGATGATGCTTTGTATCGGTGTATGGGAATACGGTTGGTGTATAAGCAGGTGGAACTGTTTTAAGAATCTATATATAATTCAAATATATGATTAATATATTATAATAATAGACTCTTTAATCAATCAATTAATTAATGAACTCAACTTACATATCTCTGAACTACACCCCACGGATCAACACGTCTCGATCCGAGCAGAATGAAATAAATTGCGCTTAGAATACTCACAAAACCACCCATGTTAGCAGTCAATTGCAACAATGTGAATTCAACACGTCTAAACCACATTTGAATGGGATAAATTTGTGTGTCTGTCTTTGGATCAGTTTTATAATTTTGCGGAATAATTCGGAAAATACACCAAAGAGTAGGGCCAATGCCAAATCCAGATATTTCAAAACTGGTAAATGACGTGTCCAGTTGCACATCTGCAGTTGGATCGTATGCTGTATCTCCTGTACCGCCACCAGTGATCGCATCTAGATTGATGTTTTGCTTTATCTCGGTACGTTTAAAGTAAAGATAAGATATTGCAGGCTATTATCGAAAAAACCATTTTAGTATTAAGTAAAAAAAATAATATAAGAGGTATCAATAAATTTTTCGTCATTTACCATTTTCACTATTTGAAATCTAACTTTGGTAGGATCTTCCCGCTCAGTGAATACGCCAAAGAAATACCATTCATCATTTGTAATTGCTCCTAGCTAAAAATTATGAAATCAAATTATTTAGTCGAACCTCCATCACCTCCCATATAATCACATTTTTTCAGTTCCCACTTATTATGAAGCATAAGAAATTTGACCTCCATATAGTCACAATTTTTCATATCCCGAGTGTGATTATAGGGAGGTCAGACTGTATATTAAAAAGTTTTTACTTACTGTATTATTCGCTTTTTTACTGGAATATAAAGCCAATGCAATTTTCTGTGTCGCATTATTATATTTAAGAGGTGGGCCTGATGAATCATTGGCAGGCTTTTGAGGGTCAAAGATATCTGTATTATATTGGAAATATGTTATCAAACTTGAATTCGATCATGTTTTAGATACAAAATTACGGAAAGTTCTCAAAACACATCAAACTTACAGCAAAATTGCCCAGTTAGGTTATAAAAACCCTTCATATTTACAAAATTGGTGCCGTCATATCTTGCGTTTGTAAGATATTCGTTACAGGGTTCACCCTGTATAATTCAATAAATCATTTTTAGCATATATTCATGTAATTATATATACATATATATTCTTTTCAATTGAATTCATGACTTGCCTTGTTAAAATCGTCATCGGCAGCATTAAAGGCGCTTTTATAGCATTGAATTGACTGATCTAGGGTTAGGCCGCAAAAAACGATACCAGGTACCTAATATTAATTATTTGATTAAAGCGTCATTTCATTTTTTTCTCGTACACCTAATAGGGATGGGCGTAATCTCCTTAAAAGTATGGTAAAACTTACTGGTATTTCAGCTCGATTCGCATTTCTTACACTGACAACAGGAGACTGTATAGCCTCCACCATCCGCCAAATATTCCAAGTAGCAAAACCAGCAATTAAAACTCCAATAATAATCAAAATTGCTAATTTTACACGGCTTTCTCTAGAACGTCGTACATCATATGCGTCAATTGATTCTTCATTATAATTATTCGCGACCATGGTTTTTTGTTTTATTTTACTACTGTTTAAATTCCACGAGCGAGTGGTAAAACCAAATGTGACAAATAAATAGTCTAACTTCGCCACAATTGAATTATGATACAAGACTAAATTTAGAAAGTTTGTCAGCCCCGATTGTGGAGGACACGGGACATCTCCCGAAAGTCCACTACAATCTTAACATAGGCCAGCACTAAAGTCCCTTGGCCGGAATTAACAAGTGATGTGCCGGTATTAAACGCGGACATCAAAATCCCGGAATCGCCTATTATCGGCGAACTAGTAATAATCACAATAGCCGTGCAATTGACTGATGATGTCGAGGAAGGAAAGTAAAGGTATTATGTGATACAGAAAAGCTGTATGCTGGTGAATTGGACTTGTGTGAAGAGTTTTTAGACGTGCGCTGTCCATTGGTCAAAGGTCCTATCGACCTACTGATGTTCCGGACCATTGAAATATAATCTAAAAAAAGTAAACTAATATATAAACTTAATTTTATTAATAACTTCTGTAATTGGTTATTGAGTTTCCAATAAAAAATAAAATTTAGATAACCTACCAAATTAATAACTTAGAATACAGCAAATTGCCATTGAAGGCAAAAACGTTGTAAATTTTCAAGTTAGATTTGCCGGTCTGATTTCCGGTATTCCCGCTTATATGATTTTCGTACTTGTAATATTTATAAATAGAATTAAAGTTAACTAAATAAATAATGATGTTTTAATAATTGTCGCGGCTGATGCTGAAATTGACCAATAAAATTAGAGAATAGAAATTGATCAGCCAATAGAATGCGCTAATCAACATTAGCCGTTACAATAATTTAGTAAAAATAATTAGATTTTATAACTAATTCACTAAAATAAACAATAAATATTTATTTTGTAAACTATTTTAATTAATAATTTATAAACAAGTAAATTATTAATAATTCCTTATTATAATAATACAAGTAATTCTTGTTATAATAAAAACCAATTAAAATCTTAATATAATAAAATTTAATTTATAATAAATTCTTGATATAATAAATTTTTGAAAATTTTTACTAATAGTTCAGATATTTTTATTATACAGAGACCTTCCAAAATATTGTGGACACTTTTTAAAATACAATAACATAAAAACTAATAAAAAAGCAAGATTTATGATTCTAAGCTAATAG